GGGGACTGGAAGAAATCATGGTTAGGAGACTACTATGACAATACAGGTGAGAAATTATGTAGGCTTGCACTATGGCAGAGGCGTGAGGGATGAAGAGGAAGGAATAGTTTGAGAAATATTTAGGAGGTAAAATTGGCAACAGTTGATTTCACTTGTTGGTTAGGAAGAAAAGTGACTTGGCCAGACCAGGTGGCTCATGCCTATAATCCCAGCACTTTGGGAGGCTGAGGTCGGGGGGGATCAATTGAGGTCAGGAGTTTGAAACCAGCCTGGCCAATATGCTGAAACCCCGTCTCTACTAAAAATACAAAAATTAGCATGGCGTGGTGGGGGATGCTTGTAATCCCAGCTACTCGGGAGGCTGAAGCAGGAGAATCACTTGATCCTGGAAGGTGGAGGTTGCAGTGAGCCGAGAGCTTGTCACTGCACTCCAGCCTAGAGGATAGAGCAAGACCCTGTCTTCAAGAAAAACAGAAAGAAAGAAAAAGTGACCCAAATATGAATCTCAAGTTTCCAGGCAGGGTGACTACCACCAATTCAAATAGAAAAATAGAGGAGAAGAACATATTTAGGGCGATGATGGAGTCTGGGGCTTCTGATTTAAAATAAGCATGGGGCCAGGCACAGTGGCTCATGCCTGTAATCCTAGCACTTTGGGAGCCCCAGGCAGGCAGATCACGATGTCAGGAGTTTGAGATCAGCCTGGCCAACATAGTGAAATCCCATCTCTACTAAAAATACAAAAATTAGCCAGGCATGGTGGTGTAAGCCTGTAGTCCCAGCTACTTGGGATGCTGAGGCAGGAGAATTGCTTGAACCCAGAAGGTGGAGGTTGTGGTGATCCGAGATCATCACACGTCAGCCAGGATGGTCTTGATCTCTTGACCTCATGATCTGCCTGCCTTGGCCTCCCAAAGTGCTGGGATTACAGGTATGAGCCACTGCGCCCAGCCTATGTTATTTCATATGTGATATACACACACACACACACACACACACACACACACACACACACGGGGGGAGCAGGGGAAGAGGGAGAGAGAGAGAGAGAGAGAGAGAGACCTCTGCCCGTGGGTGGAAATTGAGATCATTTACAGTGTGCTAAGTAAAAGATCCAAGGATAAAACTTTAAGTGACACAAGTAATCAAGGGGTGAGAAAAGAGGAAACTATAAATGAGACAGAAAAAAATGTTAGGAGGGGAATGGGAAAAAGTCATGCCCATGAAGCCAAAGAAATATAACATTTTAGGATGGATGTTTCCTTGTGTCAGAAGATCAGAATAGCCACTGAATACATGGAGCCAATTAGAGCTGTCTTAATCACCTGAGAGGCAAAATCCAGGTTGCAGTGGGATGAGAAGGAAGGAATGGGTAGAGAAATGAAGAGTGGATGTATGATGAGAAGGGGAAGAGAGGAAATGGACAGTAACCAGGGCAGTGTGAGGTCAAGGGAGAGATTTTAAAATACTGATCTGCTGAGAGGAAGGCATCATAAGAAAGGGGATATTGAAAAAAAGAGATGCTGGTGGAGGCAGGCCCTGGAGGAGGCAGGAGGTCATTAGTTTGAGGGCATAGAATCAAGGGTTTTCCTGGAATAGGAGGAGGGATTTTAGCGTAAAGGTGAGTGTATATGGATGTAAATAAATGTGTAGCACACATTTATATATGTAAATAAACATGTAGCTGACATTTAGGTAGGAAGTTGATGGATACTATTAAGTAATAAATCCATTTTCCTTGGTAAAGTAGGAGGAGACCATATTGTCTGAGGGTTTCCAGGGGAAGCTCTGAATGGATGACATGAGAAGAAGGGAATAGTTTGAAATAGATGGTTAGGTGATGACTGGGGGAGTTGAGAAAGTTCAAGTACAGGGATTGATGAGTAATTCTGAGCACCACATAAAGCAGGAGATTCTAAATTTTAGTGGTACCAATTGGATAGTATTTTTTTTAGCACTTACAGTATCCTCATTTTATCTGTGGTTTCACTTTCCACAGTTAGAAAATAAGTGAGTACAGCACAATAAGACATTTTAAGAAAGAGAGTCCACACTCACATAATTTTATTATAATATATTGTTATAATTGCTCTATTTTATTATTGGTTGTTGCTGTTAATCTCTTATGATGCCTAATTAATAAACTTTAATATAGGTATGTATATATATAGGGAAAAACATAGTACATATAGGGCTTGCTGCCACCTGCAGTTGGAGGCACCCACTGGCGGTGTTGGAATGTAGCCCCTGGGAATAAGGGTGAATTACTATATTTCCTTGAATGTTGGAGTGGACACAGTAGATGAGAACATTGATTAAGAGCTGGGATTTTGCTTCATCGTGTGTTGCAGAAGGATAGGTGTGCAAGAGAATTAAGGACACATATTGATGAAGCAGTGATTCAAGTGTTCAGATATGTGTTGGACTCAGGATGAGAAAGAAGAAATGCTAGAAGAATGCTAAAAGTGGCACATTAATGTTTCATGTTCTGAGATTAAAGAAAGTTGACAGAGAACCAAAGGCAGCATAGAATAGTGGTGAAAACACCAAGCCCCAGGAATGGACAACCTTGGGTTCAGATCCTAGCTCAGCTACTTTCTAGCCATATGAACACGCTTTTATTTCTTTATGTGTAAGGTATGGCTGAAAATAATAGCTATATACCTACAGCTTAGGATACTGGAGATTTAATGAGAAAAAAATACCAAAAGGTTGACATATGGTAAACATTCATGGTAAGATATTATTATTATTTGAAAGATGTAGGTTCTGAATAGAGGGCTGAGTATAGAAGCTTAAGTTTTCGGAGGCAGTGTAATTCCAGGGTATTTCTATAGGTGTGTTTAGAAGGTTATTATAGTGAAGATACGCAAAAAGCAAACAAACAAAACTCCCTGGTACTAATGGCCTTCAGGATTTCAAACTTTGAGAATTGCTTCGCTGAGTGTGAAGGCTAAAATGTCTTCCTCTGTAGATCAGCATAGGTTGACTATACATGCTAAGACAGCTCACAGAGCAGTGTGAAAAAGCAATGCTGTAGAATTCCAGCATTCTTTGTTCATGTTTTGAACATGCCTCTAACTGATTGGCCATGTCACTTAAATTCTGTATGTATTTCTCTTGAAACTGGGATACTAGTTTCTTGCTTCTCATGCTTCTAGTTACTTTAGAGATCAAATCATGTATGTAAAGTAACATCATATATGTTTTACTAAAGTAAAAGCACCTTTGAAAGAAACCATGGAACAAAGAAAGTCTAGGCATAGGTAACATACCAGAAGACCAATTTGGATAAGTATATAGTTCAGTTGGTTTTTTAACTTGCTTTTCTAGTGGTACTTTTTTTTCTTTTTTGTTTTTCAGGCTTTACATTTTGCCAACCCTTGACGTACAAGGAGTTTGAAAAGCAAAAGAGAAGGACAATTCAGTAGCTGCACCACTTGGCTCTTGAGATTAATAGTAACCCCAGCACTCTAAAACAAAAAAAAAAAATTAATTAAGGAATTTCAAAAACACCATCCAGAAGCTTTGAATTAACATTTCTGGTAGAAGAAACTAAAACTTGTAAATATAAACAATTCTCTGGTGGTTTCTCAAATTGCCATAATTACACTTCAGGGAAAGCATAACCTCAAAGGATTTTAAGTGTCTTATCTTTTATTTTTATTTTGTAGAGACAGGGGTCCCATTATGTTACTCAGGCTGGCCTCGAACTCCTGGCCTCAAGTTGTCCTCCTGCCTTGGCCTCTTAAAGTGCTGGGATTATGGGCATGAGTCACTGTACTTGGCCTTAATTTTATTTTTATAAGGTATTGATTTTAATTTAATCATGTTTAAAATACATTAAGGAAGTTTTTAATTTTAAGAAGGAATATAAGTTAGCCTTCATGTTTGCTGATTCATTTAATTATTATGCTGCTAAATCACTTCATAAATGTACTGCTATTATTAGGGATCTAGGAGAGTTAATTTCCTTTTTTTTCCACAGGAAAGGAACTTTTCATACACGAGCTCTCTGGAGAAAGCATGCACTTTCCTTAGTACATGATTATTTTCAAGCAACCCTCTTAAGCTGCTGTAACTTAAATGACTATGAATTATTGAAATAGGGAAAGATGCATGAAGTAGATTTTTTTTTTTTTTTTTTGAGACGGGCTCTTTCACTGTCCTAGGCTGGAGTGCAGTGGCACCATCTCGGCTCACTGCAACCTCCGCCTCCCAGGTTCAAGCAATTCTTCCAGCCTCAGCCTCTCAAGTAGCTGGGATTATAAGTGCCTGCCACCATGACCAACTAATTTTTGTAGTTTTAGTAGAGATGGGGTTTCACCATGTTGGCCAGGCTGGTCTTGAACTCCTGACTTCAGGTGATCTGCTCGCCTCGGCATCCCAAGGTGCTGGGATAGTACAGGTGTTAGCCACCTCACCTGGCCGCATTAAATAGATTTAAAAGGCCACAAATTTAAAATTCAGAAACATCAAAACTGTGATTTCTCTCTAATTCTTCTTTAGTCCATATTTTATGGTTATCTTCTTTCCTCCTCATTCTTTCTCTGCTTCTTCCTTTTCTTTCCTCTTTCTCTCTTTCTAGCTCTTTAACTTTTTTCTTGCCTGCTTCTCTGTCTCTTTCTTTGTTTTAAGGTGGTTATTTCGCTCTATGGTGTCATCCCTTAATGTAGCAGAAGTTACAGATTCAATATCTATGGGAAGTTTTACACAAAAAAATCTTTTGGGCCAAGCATTGTGGCTCATGCCTGTAATCTCAGCACTTTGGGAGGCCAAGGAGGGGGTGATTACTTAAGGCCAGGAGTTCAAGACCAGCCTGAGTAATAGTGAGACCCTGCCCCTGCCTCTACAAAAATTACAAAAAAAAATTAACCAGGTATAGCAGCTCACACTTACAGTCCCACCTACTAGGAGTCTGAAGTGGGAGTATCACTTGAGCCCAGGAGTTCAAGGTTTCAGTGAGCCATGAGTGTACCACCGCACTCCAGCCTAGGCAACAGAGTGAAACCCTATCTCAAAAAAAAAAAAAAAAAAAAAAAATTCTTGACTAGGCGTAGTGGCTCACACCTGTAATCCCAGCAGTTTGGGAGCCCAAGGCAGATGGATAACCTGAGATCAGGAGTTCAAGACCAGCCTGGCCAACATAGTGAAACCCCATCTCTACCAAAAATACAAAAATTAGCCATGTGTGGTGGGTAATCCCATCTATTTGGGAGGCTGAGACAGGAGAATCACATGAACCCGGGAGGTGGAAGTTGGAGTGAGCCGAGATCATGGCACTGCACTCCAGACTTGGTGACAGAGAGAGACTCTGTCTCAAACAAACAAACAAAAATTCTCATCTAAGAGTTTGTGAAAAGGTTTCAAAGGGTGAAAGTACAATATGCTTTCTGAAACTGTAGGCTGTTTTTTGTGTATCTGTGCTTATGGCATTTTTCTTCTAGGAAGACAGTCTATGGCTGTCACCAGATTTTCATGAGGACTATGGTTCAACCACAGTAAGAACCACTGGTTCCAGAATCTAACAGTCTTTATTGATGTATTTTCATATATTTCCCAAATTTTCTTTTTACCTTGTGGATAAACTATTAAATATCCCAATGTTATATTAACATAAGAGCATTGGCTGGTTGCCATGGCTCACGCCTATAATCCCA